TTTTTTGTATGTATTTAAATGTTATTTTAGAGTCACAGTAAGTTTATACTAGTGTGTAGTAAGAATGAGTAGTTGGGGATAGAACTTGATTATTGTGTGTTTACTTCCTAGATCAGCTTTGGGAAGTCCTGGGGGGGGAGGGGGGAAAGGGGTAGGTTTGTATTATAGATTTATATGTATATATAGGTATGATTTCTTTAAGGAGGTGTCCGGTGGCGCCCTAACTGCACAAGACAGGATGGTTGAGTGAGGAAGGGAGGTAGGAAAGAGGGAGGAAGGAGGAGTGGTGGTAGTTTGAGAGGAGGAAGATGTGGTAAGTGGAAGAGGGTGGTGCAGGGGGGGACACCAGACACGTCTATGAATGTATTGATTACTGTTATTTCTTTTGCTTGATATTGTGATAAAAGATCTATGTTTTTGTTTTTAATTGAAAAATTAATAAAAAAAATTATTAAAAAAAAAAAAGAATATATCTACAATTGCAGTTTCATTCACTTCTTCAAAAATCTCTGAATTTAGTATTTTATCAAATTTAAAATGTGTAAAGCAGTAACATATGATGAGAAATATTTACCTGTGGTACTAAGCTGACATGAATATTGCAAAAGTTCTCTCTTTTGGCTTTAAATTGAAACTGTCGAAAAGCTTCTACAAAGGGCATTCCTTCAATATCGCCAATAGTTCCACCCAACTAAAAGATAACATATTGAGTTAATTAGTTTGAGCAAATAAAAAAGCATAGTTCAATCTGTACTTCAGTTTAAGGATGCTTTTTAAAATGTATATACATGATGCCAGTAATAATTTGGGCAAATTTGTGAAATTATTGTTATAAATGTGTAACTATTTTGTGTTTTTATAATCATTGTGATATTGTTCACTGCTCAGAATCAATTGGTTCCATTCCTTTCTCGGTGAATGGTTTTAACTGGTGATGGTAAGAGAGACTGATTTAGCGATTTCTTATTTGTAGGTTGTCACAGAGGTCAATCCTCTCCCCACCCCCCTCCCATTTTTAATATCTACATGAAGTCGCTGAGGGAGTCATCCAAGATTTGGTATTTGATACATCAGTATGTTGATGATCAGCTTTACATCACTATCTGGGACCATGCTGGTAATGTTTTCCCAGGACTTGGAAGCTGTGAGCATCTGGATAGGAAACAACAGACTAAAATTGATTCCTAGCAAGAAGTGATTCTCCATTGGAATTCAAAACTGGAAACAATCAGATAAGAAACAGCATACCTGGAGCTAGATGGTGGATGGAGCAAGAGGCTTCTTTAGTTTCTCAGGAAGTAAAAGAGACAGTGGAAGATTTGTCTATGAAGATTCTCAATCATCCAAGTCATGGTTGTTCCAAAAGTGCTTTTTCCAAAGGCAACTGGACTTTCTTGTTTTTTTTCTTTGAAAACATTTTGCTTCTCATTCAAGAAGAGTTAGAACTGAAAAGCTTCTTGGATGAGAAACAAAATGTTTCCAAAGGAAAAAATCAAGAAAGTCCAGTTGCCTTTAGAAAAATAACCTTTGGGACAGTGGAAGATACAGTATATACCTTCATACTTGCAAGATTCTCTTCATGTAGCTTTACAATAAAACTAGATTAGCCTATCAGATCATGTTTCCTGTCTGATCTATCTGGTAAGGCTGACACCTATGAAGGAGCAAGTTCATCATGACTTGGGGACTCCTCTGGATTTGCAGTTCCTGCTGAAACAGCAGGTGGAAGCTGCAGTCATGAGGGCCTATGCCCAGGTTCAGTTAAGGCATAGTTGCTCCTCAGCCTCAGGTGAGAGGATTTTATGCCCATTTTAATAGTAATACCAGTTTCTGGAATGTTCTTCTGCTAGAGGTAACCTTAGTTCCTAAATTAATTTCTTTCTGTAACCAGCTGAAAATAGAGCTCTTCTGGAAAGTGTGCTTAGGACTTGATAGCAGGATTTGGGGGTTATTTTCTGTTTTTTAGAGTTTTTGTATTATTATTTTAATGCTGACTGTGGATGTTTGAATTGTATTCCTGTAAACCACCAAGAGTCCTTTGGGATTATAGTGGAGAATAAATATAATAAATAAGCCTTTGCTCATAGCTTCATACAGAAAGTTCATACTCACTTCAATTACACATATCTGTGGTTCTTTCTTATCATCATCCACAGGAACTTTTGCCTGATTCATTACCCATTCTTGAACAGCATCAGTAATATGAGGTACAACTACAAGCGAAATAAAATATTAATGCAACAGAAAATTGGACATACACTATTTCATGGAAGTGGTCCAAGAATTAAAGTTAAAACTGCATTTACAGCTGCAGCACAATCTTTTCTTGAGTCTGTTAAAGTTCTTAGAAGATTCAACAGTAATCTGATCAAATGAACTATTAAGAATAAAGTGTAGTTGCTATGTGAATTCTTAGAAACTTATTTACTACTAGCTGTACCCAGCCACGCGTTGCTGTGGCTCAGTCTGGTAAAAGCGTGTGTTGCTTTTACGTCCAACAGATGGCGCTGTTTTTCAAAAAATGCATGTTTTTACCTGTCACAGGTGTGACATCTATATAATATAGGTGTATAAAAACACGCGCGTATTCGAATGCAACGTTGTGTGAAAATTTCAAAGCAATTGGTGAAGAACTTTCGGAGATTTAAGATTTTGAACAAACGAACATTTACATTTTTATTTATATAGATTGAATGATAGAAATAACTGCAACTTGAGTAGGAATAATTGAATATAACATTAAACAATACCATGCAAACATAAATGCATCAATAGCTACCTGGTAATCAAGGATGGCAATTTGTATCTTCCAAAAAGTACTTTAAAAGGATTGAAATGAAAATATACATGGGAAAAGAATGACCTCAATTCTGTAAGCGACAATCACTTCTCTAGCATATGACTAGCTGTCAGAACCCATTTCCTGTTTGGGGGGGTTGATTCTGTCCCTTTCTGGTTTCCTTCTGTGGGTTCTGTCATTCTCCTGAGGGGGAGGGGGGATGCCTTTTGGGATGCCTTATTTCTCCTTTTGCTTAGCTACAATGTATCCCCTCTGCTTTTTCTATCTGCTTGCTCTTTGAACTGTTTTCCCTTGATGACAACCTGGGGTGAGAAAGGAATGTGCCTTCGGCCATCTGGCTTATCTCTCGCTGCGGAAGAGAAAGGTGTGAAGACCCAACAACATCTTCACAGGCATAGGAACTACTCCATTATCAGCTCCGTTCCCACAGCGGACTTAACATCTGGGGATTGGCTCCTTTGAACTGACCGTATGAACTATTGGAGTGGGGTTTGCTTGAGGCTCTTTTAACCTATTGATCTGAGCGGGAAACCCTCAGATCCTGCCTTCTATGCCTGCTATCAGCTTCTCCTAATAAAAGTTCCTTTTGGAATGAAACTGTTCTAAGAGTACTGCTTTCTTGGAATGAGGCTTTGAAGCAGGTCCTTACACTAGCCATGTGTTTGAATATTGTTCAAGTATTGCATTTTATGCAGGACGTCTTCAAAAGGAGTTAAGGATGTTCTGAGCAGTTAGACTTGTTATTGGGATAGAATGAAGTGAATATTGTTTTCTCATCTATACTGGCTTTCAGTATACAATTAGGAACATTATCAAATGACAAATAATGCAGAATTTTGGAGGCCTTTCTCTGGGTATATCCATGAAGTGAAGTCTGGCTCTCAGCTATTAAGGAGAGTGCCTTTTCAGCATGGCATGATTACTTTTTTCTTACTGGGATCAATCTGAGTCCAACTATAGACTTATTATCATTTTTTAAAAAATATTTTAACATAGGTTAATTGGTTTAAACAGTTATAAATTATACTTAAACATGCCCTTTCATGTTGACTTTTGTATTTTAAATTTTTATTGATGCTATAAAACAGGAGTTCCCAATCCCCAGGCCGTGGACCGGTATCAGTCCATGGTCTGTTAGGAACTGGCCGCACAGCTGGAGGTGAGTGGTGGGCGAGTGAGCAAAACCAAAACCATTCCCTCTCGATCCGTGGAAAACTTATTTTCCACAAAACTGGTTCCTGATACCAAAAAAGTTAGGGACTTCTGCTCTAAAACATTCAAAGAATATGTTTAATCATCAAAAATTATAGTACATTGTTAACAAGACACTGATCTATTTCACAATTTGTGCTAAGCCTTGAGTTTTTTTTATATAGTTTACTGAGTAAATTGACTGGTTTCTACAAATTTACTACAATGGTTTACTGAGAAAGTAAATTGGATGATTACATGCACTGTATCTCAGGAAAGAAGTGAAATAATTTGCATTTTTTTTAACACAAAGATACCTTGAACAGTTTTTCCCAAGTAATCTCCATGCCTTTCTTTATTGATGACATGCTGGTAGATCTTTCCAGTGGTGATGTTGTTGTCCTTGTAAAGGCTAATATCTAAGAATCTTTCATAGTTTCCCAAGTCTAGATCAACTTCTCCACCATCGTTTAGTACAAAAACTTCACCTGAACATACAAAATACTTGGTAAAACATGTTATATTGCATTTTTACTAAGATACAATAGAAATCCTACTAAATAGTACTTGCTAGTAGGTAGGAATAGAAAATTAAGGTATTTCGAGGGTAATTTTTTGCTTATAAACTTGAACTAGATCTACTATTTACATATTCATATATACACACACATAGTACATATCTATAGTGTGTATACAGTACATATACTGTAATATATGTCATGTAGTGCAATCATAAGCATATTTAGTGACAGGTAAATATTGCTTAATTGAATGAACACACTTTTAATAAGAATGCTTACGACTGAAATCTAAATAGGTTTGGTGACTAAGCAATCTGCAGTTTACCATTTTCAGAGCCCCTTTTCAAAAGACAGAAATGATTGCATTTGCTATATGTTGTAGAGCTGAGATTAAATATAACAGCTGAAGTTTTTTCCTATAAGAATCAAGTTATATGTTTGATTCATCACTGGCCAAATTATTTTTTCCCAATTAATAAAGAAATCATAGATTTAATTTTACATTATTACCACTAGTTATATTTTTATACTGCATCTTTTCTAGGCATATAGATATGTTTTACATCTCTACAATACATTGTAATTTGTTTTTCATACTAAAAAGTTGAAATCAGAGAGACTACACCATATGAAATAGACCTAGCTTGGCATAGTGGTTAAAGGCACCAAGCTAGAATCTGGAGACTGTGAGTTCTAGCCCCACTTTAGGCATGAATGCAGTTCGGTGACCTTGGGCTAGTTACCCTCTCTCAGTCCTAAGAAGAAGGAAATGATAAACCATTTCCAAAGATATTGCCAAGAAAACTCCTACAATACAAAGAATGCTAAAGAACTGAAAAGAGAGTAGAAAAGAGCAATAAAAATGGTAACGAACCAGCAGAAATCCAAACTTAAAATAAGTTATTTTCTGATCACGAGACCTATTAAATAGTTGAAAAGCCTGTCTTTTAGAGGTTTGGGTACTGCATCACTGGAAATTTTCAAACAAAGTTGGACAGTCATTTGTCTGAGATATTTCAGGATTCCTTCTAAGACTGGAAGTTGAATTATTAGACCTCTGGCAGTCTTCATAGTAGTAAATATCAAGTTGCATAGAAAAATCAAATGTTCATTATCACATAAAACAGTCACATAAGATGCATGAGACTGAAGTTTAGAGTTATAATTTGTATTGCCTGTACTACCTTTCTGACTGTCAATGGCTTCTTGCATTTTCTTAGTTACGTATTTGGGAGGAGGAGGAGCTACTACCATTCTATTATTAATAACAGTAAACTAAAAAAAACTTTGCATCAGGACTCAGTATTACCAAACACTAAACAATCTAATCTACAAAACTATAAATAAAAAATGTATGACAAATCCTTCGAGATTATCAAAACTTCATGGGATCTTTGGAAAATCAAACAGCTTTTGATTTTTTAGATTTGTCATTATTTCGTGGGACACATATTGTACAAACTCATGTGAACTCTCTGCTGCGCATGACTATGCCAGGTTGATGTTTTCAAATACTGTTCAAAATAAAGGCCTTAAGACTTCCGCCGGCAGGATCTCATTAGAGCTCCTGCAGATTCTCCAGTTTAGACTTAGAATGGTTTCTAAGCCAGAAAAAACTTCTGGGAAAGGAGACCCTTTGGAAATCAGCCCTCTTGCTCCGCTGAATAGCTGGACACTCTCAGGCTGCTTCTTGATGAAGAAGTAATCGGGTGAGACCTGGCTGGGGTGTGGCAACCAGGCAAGTTCACTATGGAAGAGCCAGCCTTTTATTCAGACATTAAGGGACACTGCCAGTTCTTAGAAACTTATTTCTCAATATATTTACTTTTCTTGTCAAGAGAGACTTCCTAGAGTTGCAGCTTGTTGTTTCCTTTTTGTGGAATCAAGCTCTGTAACTTTAAAAATGGTGTGGAGGGAGGAGTCAGTTTTTCCAAGCCAAATTAAAGAAGCTGGAAATCATTGTGGGGGACTCTATATGGCTGATTGATTTTGTGGGATCTCTGTTCTTTTTTTTTTTGCTTTTAAAACAAAGGATTGTTTAAACCAGGCTTTGGGTTTGTTGTGAGGGGAGAGTGCAACAATGCTGAGTTTAATGGCTTTTGATTGGTCCAGATTGTGCCTTTTTCTCTTTCTTCTTAAGACTTTTCCTCAGTCAGTAATGTTGTTTGACCACAAGAGGGGGCCAAAAGACTGTGATATGGTTAACCATTACAGGTAATCCCCCAGATACCAGCGTTTATTTAGCGAGTTTTCACAGAAACGAGGTTATTCAGAAAGGGTACTTAGATTAGAAATTCAAAATTGCGACCAAAAACAGGCCTCTATAGCATGTGACTTGGATTCAGTCTTGGCTGTTGCGACAGCCATTTTAACTCGATGACTTGCCTGGGCTGGTTCAGGCCTACGAGAAGCCAAAAGGGTTTTTTTGTGTGTATGTGCCTGGTCACATGGCCAAACAAGATCCGGTGATCGACCGTTTGCATCGACCATTTGTTTTTGTTTTCCTGGAGCTGCGTGGAAGATTTGCTGCTTGCTGGGCTTGAGGACTACATTACTGTAGAGAGCTAGAATTACTTCTGTAAGTATTTAAAAATATTCGTTTTTGTTACTCTATAGTACTGTACTGTATTGTTTGTAATCACTTTGGGAACTGCTCTGCTTTTTATTCTGTTTGTAAGTAGAGTACTTTGCAAGATTGTTTGTTTGCATTTGCCTGAAACCTATAGTATGTGGCTGCTGCTGCCTCCTCTCCCTAGCACAGACCCACCAGAGATTCTACTGATCCCTTACTGAAAGAAAATCCCCCCCACCCCATTTTGGATTTTGCCTGGAGAGGCTTGTAATGATCAAGGACAGTGGGGTTTTTTTTAAAAAAAAAGGTTTTAAATTTAAATTGCCTCCAGAAGTTGTGGGTTTTCCCTCACTGGAGGCTTTTAATAGACTGGATAGGCATTTATCAGAAATACAATACAGTACTGTACTCTCTTGTGAGAGCAGTGGGTTAGACTAGATGACCTCAAGGTCTCTTCCATCACAGTTACTGTTGCAAGCCGACAGTTCTGTAAACTTCACTCCCATCTCCCTCTGCATGCCTGCCTGGAGACACTTAAGCTAAAGCTAATTACTTAGTGGCAACTGCAATCGGAGAGTTCTCCATCCCACCCCCACCCCGAAGAAGCTTGAGCTGTCTAGCAACAAATGGGTTTTTTTATTTAAAAAAAAAGCCTGCTGCCTACTTGGGAGGCAATTTACAGTACTCTAGTTCCTGAAACCTGAAACAGCTGATTGGCGGCAAGAAACAGCCTGCAGCAGTGGTGGGAAAAGTCTCTCGATTCAGGTAGCCATCGCAGGAAATAATGTCAAATTTTTGTTCATTTAACAACCCATTTGATTCAATTAATGAATTTGATTTTAAAATGTTGTAATATTGAGTCTGATTCATTTGATGATTATGAGTATAATGGGCAGGCTCTATTAGGCTCGTACCTCGGGGACTACCTGTACTTTTTTTTTTACTAATTTTGCAAATCATTGGGCTTATAATAATTTAAAGTTATAATTTATAACTTTAAAGTATTTAACTTAAAATTTAAAACTTTATTTACACATTACAAATGGCAACCAAGAAGAGAATGGAGAAGACTAAGAGATTATTAGGAGATTTAGAACTCTTAAAACCATTTTTGGATGAATATACAGCCAAAATACGTGAGTTCATTCAGAACATGGGAAGAAACAACGAGGCTAAATTTGATGCTTTGGCAAAAGAGCTGCATCGTGAAATACAACACTTGACTGGAGAGATTAAGAAGGTGGAAGTGAGAACTGACCTTTTGGAAAATGAGATGGAGATAGTAAATAATTTGCTGGAAGCTGATTTGGACCAAAATGTAATTTGGGAATATCAGATAAAACAGTTCCAATTAAGATTTTGAGCTATTCCTGAACAGCCAGGAGAAGACATTAGGTTAAGGATGGTTAAAGCCTTGACTCAGTTGACCAATTGGGAAGAAAAAATACGAAACTAGAGCTAGATAATGTGTATAGAGTAAACTCCAGATTTGCTACTATGAGAAGATTATCAAGGGAAGTGTTAGTTCACTTTGTAAGAAGAACAACAAGAGATCTTGTTTTGGATTGCCATTTTAAATTTAAACTGAGAATAGAAAATGTGGATTTTATTGTGCTGAAAGAAATCCTGTTGATAATTTTGAGAAAAAGGAAAACTTATGCTTTTCTTATCTTAAAGAAGAGAAAGATCCCCTTTGATTGGGATAAACTCGAAGGAGTGATATTTACTTATCAGGAGCAAAGATTCAGATTGAACTCTATAGAAAAAGCCAAGGATTTTCTGATTACACATAAACTAATTTTAGAGTCACCTGAAGAACTGGATGGAGACAGGAAATCTGCGGGGACTTCCGGTGTGCAGGCGACTTCGTCGGACGCAGCCGACAGCTGCCTCCCGCCTGTTTTCGCGTAAAAGCCGTTATGACAGCAAGCATCAGCTGTCAAACGGCTTGATACCCTTCCCCCGGGCATAAGGGGATCGGTGAGCTGCCCGGGGTAGGAGTTGAGTTCCCGAGTCGTCCTTTGTGGACGATGTAGGTTAGAACTCCTCCGGAGCCCCGAGGATTCTCCGCGATCCAGGACACCTTCGCTTCGGCGAAGCTAGAAGCCGCCGCCACCGCTGCAACTTAAATTGAACTGTGAGTTATTATATGTAGACAAACCGACCCTGGAAGTCTGTTTTCTATTCTGGATCTTACTCTAACTTGGAATATTCTGATCTTCCCTATACTTGGGGCGGACTGAGTGAAAGTGATCTTAAAATGGCGCTGGAATGAAACTTTTTAGCAAGAAGAAACGAAAGTGATTTGGATTTCCGGTCTGGAATTTTCACTACTTTTAAGACTTTCACTACTTGCTTTGGACTAACTGTTAAAAAGACTTCTACATAGATTGAA